TATTCTTATCCTGAATCTTGACACTTTTTCTATCTCTTGGATACTATTCAGTACTATATTGTTCTTCCTAGATACATGTGTGATCAATGTCATGATTGTAAATTTTAAGCTATTTGCAATGAGTGTGATTAAACTTCATTAATTATGCTATATGAATGGATACATTAACGGATTGAAGACTATCATTCAAAGAGAAGTACCCTCAACATATTATTTTCATTGTTTTGCACACCAACTTCAACTCGCTTTGATATCAGCAACCAAGAATCATATTAAAGTTTGCCAGTTCTTTGTTGAATTATCATCATTATGTGTCAAAGTAGCTGCTTCTTGAAAACATGCGGATCAGTTTCAAGAATTGCAGGCAACTAAAATCCGTGATGCAATCATTGACAAAGAAGTGAAAACAGGTCGCGGATTAAATTAGAAGCAAACACTCCGGCGGCCATAAGAGACAAGATGAGGAACTCATTTTGTTTCTATTTATAGAGTGTTTGATATTTATGATTTAGTTGTCAAAGTTCTTGAAATTATTATGGAAGATGCAATTGTAACAAATTCAAAAGCAGAAGCATCAAGATTGTTGGAAGCGATATGTTGCTTTGACTTTGTTTAAATGTTACACATTATGAATGTGGTTTTAAGCAAGTCTGCAGTTCTTTTGGAAGCTTTACAGCGTAAGTATCAAGACATACTTCATGCAATGTACCTTGTTGTTATTTCAAAGTATGAATTGCATGAAATGAAATTAGAAAAAGGATGGAAGACAATATATGAAGCGGTTAAATCTTTTTGTCTCGCAAAAAATATCTCTGCCCATCATATGGAATCAAGTTATGTGCTTATGGGACGTCCTTGTTGCAATGCTCACAGTATAATCTATTATCATTATTATCGTGTGGAGATTTTTTTCAACATCGTAGATTCACATTAAAGTGAGCTTCATGACCGTTTTCCTGAATGTTTGTCTGCATTGCTCACATGGATTGCCTATTTATGTCCAAATCACCTTCGCATTTATAGAAATGTCCCAAAGCTAGTTGAGTTGGGGCGGATGTATCTACATGACTTTGAACTATATGATTTGGTGATGTTGGAACAATAGATTCTGCAATTTTGCATAGAGTTGAGGTTGAGCAAAGCTTTTTTTGGAATTCCATATCTTTCTGCTTTAGCTATAAAGATGTTTGAACTCAAGAAGTCTATTACTTATCATCTTGTTTTTTGGCTAATCAGTTTGATTTTAAGTTTACTTGTCAGCACTACGTCAATAGAACATTCGTTCTCAGCATTGAAGATTGTGAAAATGCGGTTGAGGAACAAAATGGGAGATGGGTACCTTGATGACACTATTACTTTGATAGTTGAAAGAGATTTAGCACAAAGAATCACCACCGACTATATTATCGAGAAATTTCAAGCGCTAAGCACTAAATGTTTGTAGTTGGATTAATACATTAAATTCGGATTTTTTCCCATTTGAATTTTCTATTTTGAATTCTTTGTCATGAGTGACAGGAGTTTTGGTTTTAACGTAGTGCAGTTGGATAAATACATTGAATTTGGAATTTTTACAATGATTTTCTAACAAAAGTGACAAGAGTTTTAGTTTTAACACAGTGCAGAGAGATTAAAACATTGAATTCGGATTTTTTTCAGTTTGGATTTTTTGTTTTGAATTCTCAGTCATGAATGACATGAGTTTCGCTTGTAACACAGTGAAGTTTTATTAATACACAGAATTTGGTATTTTTTACAATTTGAATATACTTTTTTGAATTTTTTGTTATGTGTTACTTTGTTAATTTAACAAAGTGCAGTTGGATTTACATAGAGAATCTGTGTTTTTTAAAGTTCGGATCTACTTTTTGGAATTCTCAGTAGTGGAGTTTTGGTTTGAACACAATTCTGTAACAGAATTAGCCAAAAAAAGTCTCGCCTATAGTGCTACCTAGCAGGCTGCCACCCTCCTGAAAAATACTGGCTTCTGAAAAATACTGATGTCAATTGTACGTGTAAAATCCAAGAGAGACACAAGTACACAAAAATAACGTGGTTCACCCTCAAGAAGAGGGCTACGTCCACCTAAAATTCTCAGCACTTTACTTCAGGTCTTGTCTTAAAGACTCTACATACAAGGCGAAAGCCGGGGTATTTAACCCAAATCCAGAACACCGTTCTAGCTATAAAGAGTTAGGATTAGAAGTTACTTCTTAACCGGAGTTAACCTTAACGGGTTTCAATCAAAGGTTAATCAATTCTTTGACATTTTCAAATCTGATGCTATCAAAAATTAAATTGATTATGACGTTAATTTTTATGACACAAATTTAGTACAAGTATTTGAATTTTTCAAAAGGTTAATTTTCATTTATTTTTAAATTAATCATGCAGAATGTTTCTTTTGAAAATAATAGAAGCAATTCAATTAATTAAGCATATTTAGATTATCTATTTATTCATCTTGATAAATATTAAAATTTATTATCACTTAGATCCTATTTTTAGTTTTTTTAAATGTGTATGATATAATTTTAAATAAATATATATATATATCAATAATTTTTCAATAATTTTTAGATTATTCTTTGGTTTTTGGAACAAAATTTTAATGTGATAAAAAAATCTCATTTACTTAAAATTTGAAATAAATCATATATATAGACAATATCATGTATCAGATTGTGTTTCACGCCAAAAAAAAAATTTCAAATTTCTGTATACAAATGTTTTATGACACTTTTAATATTTCTATCCTTTAGATCACTACTTGAGTCATCGAATGCATCTTTTTCAAATAAAATAGTAGTTACTTTTTTGACATTATCAACACCAACAAGCATGTGATGAGGGCAAAGGATAAAAATTTGAAAATTTTAGTCTCCAATTTCAAAACCCAAGTTCTGGTTAAAATATTGTGTGTCTTGGATAGAATTTAAGTTTCAGGTTGTTTAATTCACATTACAAATGATTATTAGAAATTTTTAACTATAGTTTCACATCACGTGTTTTTGGGGGTTTAGAAAATAATAATTATTTATATCTCACCAACATTTTTTTTTCATTCGCAAATAGTAAACCACACGTTTATTGTTTGACTATTTTCAAAATGGCTTCAATTATCTTCTCTGTCACTATGAAAGAATTTTCCAACAGGTTTTTTCAAGTTAACTCTACACATATCTTGTATTTAATTCTTCAAAACAACTTCTCATTCTTATCACTATTTCATGTAAGATATACATCCAAATCTCAAATGAATGTAATATTTCAATGATAGACATCAGACCCAAATCCAAACTTACTATTCTATTGTTTGGTTCTTCTTTCTATCATATGAATCTTCTATCATTCTAACTCTACAATCACTAAAACAAAGCTATAAGTCTTTACCTTTACCTTTGCATACTCATTATGTCATGTATTTGGTATGTTTCAAGATAAAACCTTTTACATTTCAACGATATACCCAGCATTCAAAGTTTCACCAACCATAAACCTTAAAGTTAACGGTTCTTCATCATGATGATCTAAATTATCAGAATCATATATATATATATATATATATATATATCAACACAATAATGCAATGTTGTACTTGTTTACTTATGGTATAAAATATGAGAGAGCATTTGAAACCTATTTGGACATTAAAACCAATCAAATCATTTTACGTACTTAATTAATATACACTCTATTTCCAACAATATTTTAACATAAGCTTGTGTGATCCAAACAGGGATATGTTAATGAAATCGTATGTACCTTGTGCTCATTATAAGTGACTCAATCATACAATATATGCACTTTTGTCTCATGATATTTTATACTTGCAACATTACAAAGTCAATGACACATTGGATATGGTGTATCATGTATCTCTCTCGAAGGCATCACAACGGTATGTGAGTTTTAATTAGTCGTAAACAGAACTATAGTGACACCCTGTAATCCATCATCTACCTACTCTGACCTGCAAATGCACAACCCACTATCACCTCATATGAGTATATGTTATCTTTTTAGAATCCTTAACACTCTCTAAAAATCCAAAAAACACTATTTATATTTACTCTTAACAACCTCTACATTTTTCCAATAAAGTTTCGATATAATCAAGGCAGAAAGCCCCTAGAAGAAATAAAAGACCAGATCCTTCTGCGGAAGTTTATAAAATCATTCAGAAGCCTATAGTAGAATCTTTATATATATATAATTCTTAGAATAAATATCAATCTAAAATGGTCTAATCACTCATAACTTCAGACAAATTATAAACTGACAATAGCCACAAAACTAGTCACGTCTACTAACATACTCTCCCTGTTATTGTTTCTCACGCACAGCTGCACGCGGGGTTCTTTTTGCAGTTGAATTGGCAATGAGCTTTCTAGGGGAATCAATAGCATTGTTCGTAACATAGACAAGTAAGATATTTATCATACGAAATATACGGTGTATTTCACTAGGTATGAACAGCATTGATATGGATGGATAATTTGTCAGAAAATGGAGAGGAGGAGACACTAAAAACACACCTGGAAATTGTGACCTAGAGAAACTAAAAACTGAGCATCAATGTTTAAATCGAAATGCGTTAATTCTTAGATCGAAAAATACAACATTCTAGATAACGAAGCTTCATGGATATGGATGGATGAGGGATATTCACACGCAAGTGTGTGGTCGTGCTGGCCCATGTATAGTGTGTTCAGTTGTTGTCCTCGATCATGTCGTTACTACCCGACTCTTCTCTGAGAAGAAAGCGAACGCAGAGTCAAAATACGGGTGAATCTATGGGAGCTTTTCACTAGATTTTCATGTGATTTCTTATATCTGTCTTTGCCAATTGTATAGTATAAAGGACTGTTGTCAGGGACAGTTTTTTGCCAGTTGAGAAACCGGAATTTGAAAACTTCCGTGACAGATAGTGGTTGAGACCAGAATTTGGACTGCAAATCTCTCCTGAAATCAGAGCAGAGACGGTTGTGCATCCACAACCATGGTCTCGATTTCAAGTCGGATCCAAGTGAGACACCTATCAACATACACGATATTTGTACTACGATAGCACCATGTATATGATTTATTTTTGGCAATGCTCCAAACTACTTGTACGTTGTACATCAATTTAATACACTCGCAATCCTCTAGGCTATGTTAATAACACTACTGTGTCCGTTACGAAAGAAGGTCGCAAACAAAAATGACTAGCTTCTCATAAGCTAATTTAGCCACTGTCCGCTACTGGAGCTAAAGATCCATTCTCGCATAACGAGTGTAGACCGGGTAAATGACGGATGAAAAGACGAAAGCAACAATCGCCCTCTGCCCTTCATGGGGTCCCGTAGAGAACGTGGTAGTTACTGAATAGTGCCGTACGTGCCCACTTGCATGTAACCCACTTGTTGCCAAAGCGGGTGCCGAGAGTTGACTTGCGGTTGTAAAGAACGCTTATCCCGGGGCCACCGATGACAAGTTTCTATAGCATCTGTCCTCACTACATTCATCGCGTTGCAGATCTGACCGTCGACATACGGACGCCATCGGAGAAAACCTGCGGGTGCGTTTGCATGCACAATGCACATAGAGTCAACTTTCCCGGCAGCTCAGCGGCGACGGATACAGCCCCACAGTCGACACAATTGTCGCTTCGTTTTAGTCCATCCTCCGCAACCGAAGAAAGAAGTGGTAGGATGCCGTAATCTTCTAAACACGGATTAGACAGGAAAACACGGATTCACGATCTTCAGTGGCCTGTAGACCCACTACCCTCCTCGGACTAAAGGAAGACCGACAGCCACTACTATGAGAGTGGACGGTAGTCCGAAGGGCAAATGTTTCAAAAATGAGAAATTAAACGCGTTGTCGGCTGTTCGCGCTTGCTCGCTGACGATGAGATTGGCAGCTGAACCCAGCAGAGTCAAGTTTCCAGCCACCGTGCTCACCCAAGCTAAGATCAGCCAGGCTTTCGTGACGTTGGCTGGATTAGCGCTCGCAGCCGATGCCGCCACCCTCGCCCCCAGCAGCAGCACTGCACAGCACAAAGGAGCATCAATTAATGATCTGGAGCTAACATAACCCCCGTCCAGGTACACCATTAAAACGTATCCCCGTTGGAGTTGCTCCTCGTGTTGCAGCGCTGGGCTGAATTTCCCAAGAATCGCGCAGCCGCCTGCATGGCCACGGAATGTGGGCAGGAGAATGCGCAATTTTTCTTCCCAGTCAGACTCCTCTTCACCTTCGCCCGTTCCTTTTGGAAGTGCACAAAGTTGTGCAGGCTTAGCGGAGAGCAAGTTCGCCGTGGCCATTAGATCTTGGGTAGCCGATCGGGAGGCAGATACGAAAGAAGTAATTTCTGGTTAGAGGAGTGGATCGCGACGACGATGAGTGATGGCAAGCGAGTGTGGCGTCACTCACCTGTCGGTACGTTGGAGGCAACGTTCGAAAGAAGGATGACAACGAGAGCTAGGATGGTCAGCCCCTTCACATTCTCGATGCGCGAGTGCGGCTCCACGGCGTCCCACAGCGCTCCGGGGGCGCCCGTGTTATTGAATCCCTCCACAGCTATGAACATGCCGGAGAAGAATATCAGCAGCGAGTAGGACACCTGCGCAGGGCCACAAGTCTTAGACCTCTCTCCTTTCTTTCACCGTCCGTTCATGTGAACCTCTAGACCGAAGAATTCGTCCGATGATCTCACGACTGCGAGAGGAACCTCGATCAGGTAAGAGAATTACCTTTTCCAAGCTAGGCCCGGCGTCGGAGAAGTCGAGGATCATGAGCACCACGGCCGCCGTCACGGCACACCATGAAAGGTTCAATCCGGCCAGAAGCGCAGCGAGGAATCCCACCGTGACCAAATACACGGACGAGGTCCACAACCGCGTGCGCACACGGCGAGACAGTAAGCTCTTGGGGTTCCGGAGGCTGACAGCTTCTCGAGCTGTCACTCCAGTCATGCCAGTCGCGATCTCCAGAGCTGCCGGTGGAGGCTCAGGAGATTCTGCCAGACTCGGCGCTTGCAGGCCGTGCCTCCTCTCATGAAGTTCGCGGCCAGCGTTCGGAGAGGCGTGCCCGAGCACGTGAGGGCCGCGGACCTCCGCGCCTGCGGCCTCGAATGATGCACGGGCCGAGGGCTCTGGGCGATTCTCAGACAATGTCTCCAGAGGAGCGACAGACGAGAGCTCCTTGACGCTCTTGTCTTCGCCGAGTGAATGATCCGCGCCCGGCCCGTTGCCCTCTTCGACGTCGGGCTGCGGCGCGGACAGGCTTTTCCAGTAGAACAGGAGCAGAAGGACGATGTTGGCCGCAATCCCGACCACGACCGCGGGGAGGATTCCCCTCATGAATTTTCCGAAGCTGATTCCGCTCTGAACCGCAATCACGAGGTTCTGCGGGTTCCCGATGGCCGTGGCCGCGGAGCCGATGTTGGCACTGGACGCCAGCGCCATGAGAAACGGCAGCATTGGGAGCTTTTGCTTCTTGCACATTTTGAGCACGAAGTCCGTCAGCACGACGCAGGTCGTATCGTTGGTGAAGAAGGCGCTGCACAGACCCGAGAGGATGCACACTCGGCACAGAAGGTCCTTGCCCCCGCGGCTCTTCCACGCGAGCACGTTGCCCAAGTATTTGAACAGGTTGGCCCTCTCCAGGTACACGCTGAGCACCATGGTCCCGAACAGCAAAGCCAAGATGGGAAGATCGATGGCCTTGAAGGCCTCGTCCGGCGACACAATTTGGCAGACCACCATCAGCACGGCTCCCAGAAGCGATCCGGCAGTCCTCCCGATGGGTAGCCATGGCACCGCGGGGAACACTGCGAGGATCCACCAAATTGTGAACGCCACACACCCGAGTACCACTTTCCATGGCTCTGCCCAAGCCATTACAGAAATCGATTGGGCTTACGCTCGTCGAATGACTGCAATGAGACTGGGACCCCTCACCTTGTACGTTATCACGCTTTTTCGTGAAAACGATGAAGCCTGAGAAGCCCTTTACTTCAGAACTGCTCGACCATGCACGCCTTCCATGTGGAAGTCTACTATCGTTCTTCCACCGAGCCGGTAACGGAATAATGGGTCACCGTGAAGAAGTGACGAAGGAAGGGTCGTACCGAATATAGAATCGGTTGCACCTATAACATACTCGTCCACGGCTTAGCAGCGAAAAGAATCTTGTCTCATTTCATCTCCGTCCTCCTCAGGCAGCCAAATCTCCAGCACAACAATCTATCTCTCTGCCTGTCTATCTTCCTTCTCAACAGACAGGGCTGGCGTTGCTCAGCACCCACCCTCAGATATCAAGGGAACGAATGTGGAAGTTAGTGCAAATCGTGCAGTAACTGCTACAGCAGATGGATCATATACTGCGAGCCCATGGGCAGCTTTGAGGTTGTTGCATGCTCCAGATAATCATTAAACTCGAAGCACAGGCTTAGCCCACCGAAGTAAAATCCGACGTCGACCTCTTTCGGACCGGCTCGTTGACTCCATGTCCGATCGTTCACCTTCAGAACAAGGTCAGTGTTGCTCCGAGTAAATGATTGTATGGCTCAGAGACCGCGAATAGCTGCAGAGCACCGAGTGTGAATGAAATCGAGGAGCTTTTGGAGATATGCGAAGAGCAGTGGCCCAATTTGTATCTGGGCGGGAAATCGCGGCATATTAGTTTCAGAAGTGTGCTACAATATCATGGAAAGAACCAGCACGAGATATACCGGATTGGAACGGGAGTTGCGGTCAGGTCCACCACTGATCGGATTGCAACGCAACAGATCAGAGCCTAGTACAGTGTGCCATTATCGATCTCGTGAGGACGACCGAGCAGAGCAGTGATGGCAAAAGAGATTGCTCCAGACTCCGTCAAACTTTCTCTCACTTTAGCCCAGTCTTGGAAGGGGAACATTCTGTTCTGGATTCACATTGGTAATCGCGGCTGCTGCATACCATGTACTGTCCAGTCTTACTTGCTTCATCCACGAGTCTAACCGATGGCGACAAACGCCTGACTGCCCTCAGCCATAAGTGGAACCAAAATCCCTTTTTCTCACACTGCTGACCTCCTCGAATTCAACTTCCACCGGATACCACCTGGCACGAGCGAGCTTGAGCACAACCGATCCATTTCTACTTTGCACTTTTGAATCGAACCCATAACAACAGATTGGTCTGATCTGCAGCAGTGTCTGCTCCAGGTACAAGCTTTAGAGTGAGTTCAGGATTCGTCTGCATTTGCTCGGCTCCACTGTACCCAGCCAAAGTCAAAATCCTGCGTGTAAATTGACTGGTCCTGTCTGGGGTCATGAATCATGATCTCCCGGTGGAATGTTTGTCTTGTCCCGGACGAAATAGCGGCGCATTGGCCAAGGGCTTAGTATCTAGCGCTAGTAATAGAGGTAGTCTCTGCTGTTGTGTGCTTCTGTCGTCGCCGCATGCGTCTTCGTCTACGAGCGATCGGTCGAGCTCTGTTGCCATCTGGGTGGGCTTTTAGATGACCTTTGCATGACAGCTAGACAACAGGTCCTCCGACACGTGGTGGTGAGGTGTTTGGGCCGGTTTCGGTAAGCCATTCTAGAGCACGGCTTCGTTCTCTTATTGTGACAACATGGAGATTGCGACGTACGGGAACTCGAGAAATCAATAAAAAGGTACGGAGTATCTTGAGGAAACCCCAAGTAGACAGATAGCTGATGACTACTGTGATAGATTGTTATCCTTTACTCATGCTACTGTTATATTTCGATCTAGAAAGTCCTCCATCTAGCGGTAAGAGGAGGTCTGAAACGAATATTGAAATCTATCTTACGTGTGGTTGACAACAAAGAGCAACGTTGTAGTGAAATACCCAGACGACTCCGTGAGAATCGTATGCGAAGATAAATGTTCACCAAGTAAAATACATGTTCTCGACTGTACCATACTTACCAGAAACCCGATAAATTCCAGTAAACTCATTCTGTTAGACGAGGTGGTATTCTAAGTAGAAAATTTGTTTTCATAGTTGAGTTGAGCAACCATGAAAAAATAGCAACACCCATTTAGAACTTTCAGAATCCTAACCCAGGTTTAAACCTGAGTTAAGATGTTGATAGACACTCACCTTCAGGAAGGAAATCCTTGATCTACCCTACATCTTCTTATCTAGGTCAGCGGATGGTGACCATTACCGTCAAATGATTTTGACCTTCCAAGAGGTCTTCAGGGAACAAATCGAGGTTTGCACCGGGAACAGTTCCCTATTGGAACATAATAAGCTCAATATCTTCTGCGAGAGCACTGTCTGATTCCAGCGCACAAAATTCGCTCAGGTACTTAAGAATGTTTAAGTCCCAGGGATCGCCTCTTGCACAATGCAGGGATATGAAATGGAAAACACAAAACCTAGGACCGCTTTAGGGACGAATGTTGGAAACAAGTAGTACAGCTCACTCATGTGCCAGCTGATGACAGACGTCAATGGGTACTCAAGATTGTCATAATAGCGATTCTTTTATCCACTAGATTGTACAAAAGCGAGGAAACTGTTGGCATGTGATCGATCACAGGAACCTTAGCGCGGCACAGGTTCCTGTGAAAAAAATTTCTAGTGAGATCTACGAAACGAGAAGTAAAAGCAAAGCCCTTGTCGCTGTAGCAGACATCTGTACGCCTATGGGCGAAAAAGTATACATGTGCAAAGCATACTCCCAACACACTAACCCTGACATCCTTGAGTATAAGACGAACAATGCAAACAGCATTTGCATAACGGCTTAGATATCCGTTGTTGAAGGCAACCATCATGGGACGCGAAAGCTGTTATTAAGAACCAGCTCTATGAAATAGTACATGTGTCAAACGAAGAGAACGACATAACTACACTAAAATTTCATCAGTAGAGTGCCAACCCTGTACGTCCGCTTTGAGCAACAACAATGAGGCTATGCTACAACTCAGGTAAATTTTATCTTGAGCTCAGGCTACTCCATATGGAGCACTGTTTGAATTTATCAAATTTATAGGGTACAGATTGGAGGGCTGCCACTAAACTGGCGACTTCGGAACGTTCATCAACAACCAAAATCCGGAGCATAGCTCCGATTCCAGAGAATTTTGCACAGCAATGAAGTGGAGACCGCCAACTTCGTTTTTGGCATCTTGCCAAGCCATAGCTTCCTGGTCAGCCTGTGGGCTTCTCCGCCAAAAAGCGTAACGCCATCGATCAGAAACTCCACTTGACAGGATCAGGCAGGACCGCGATGTATCTACATCTATTGAGGCAATCTCCAGGGCGTTTGTCCATGCTGCCATCACCAAACAATAGAGGATGGACAAAAAAATTGATGAGTAGAAAGCATGAAAAGTACAGATAAATCCTCAGTAGCGTGCGAAAGTTATATTATTAAATTTCAGTGTACCCCTTTCTAGTATAAACCAATGGACGAAACCAAAGTAAAATCTGACACGGTTGAAGATGACCGGTTAAAAAATAAACCCAAAGGTCCTAAGAACAATCTTGTGTGTCATCCGACAGTACTTGGATACAGTTCCCCACAACAATCCCCGAAAACAACTTAGCCCAAAATGAGCAAGAAACTTCACGACTAGTGTAATAAGAGTTGAGGCTGCAGGGACGACAGGGTAAGCAAACACGACATACAGAAATGGGAACAGAACCGCAGAAGACAACCGGACCAGAGTTACATGCACTAATAGAAGTCAAATAGAAAGCGGCAAACAGGAGACGTAATGTCAAAGCCGGAGAGTACAAAAGATGAAAAGAAATCAAAGGAAATTCCTGAGAATTGCATATGAAAATCAAGGAGAACAAATGCAATATGGCCTGATCTGCAATTGCGTACTGAAATCCAGGAACTGAAAACAAATGTAGAGTGGTGGGCGCCCGATCACCACCGCTCCCTACTGACTTGACAGACAACGTTGAAAAATTTCAAAAGAGAAATTCGCGTCGAGTTTCCACGGAGTTACTTGTGGACCCAGTGTACAAGTAGAAAGCATGAGTTGAAGCCGAAGAAGAAAAGATTTCAAAAACCCGTATGGTTAAAGCCAACAAAACAAACAAAAAACCAGGCCTTCTAATTTTTACGATGTGGCATGCACTGAAGCCTTACTACTCTCTGCATATCCAAAAGCAATGACTTGAACGTATGTGAATGAAGCTTGAAGCGAAAGAATCAAATAAAGTCGAGGTCGATGATCATCAGCAGGAGCAACTGATTTAAGTGCAGATCGACACTTAGCAAGTAACCAGCTAACAATCAGGACGAGTGATATTAGAAGGTACTTAGCAGGAAACCCAGGAAGGGAGGTGCTAGGGCAGATCACATGCTCAGTAGGAATCTAGAAAGTATGATTTATGGAGAAAAATAGCGTGCGTATATCCATTCCCGCTACGTATATGTCTGTGTGAGGAGTGTGCACTAGTTTGGACACGCGGAACAACAACGGAGGAAAAGCAATTAATGGTGCAAACTAACAATCTGATTTACCCAAAAAGATGATTACCACTAGACAATGGCAATCGGACTTAAGAAGCATAGAAGTGGGAGTAAATGATGTCAGCTACAATAATGACTGCTTGCTGTTTCCTAGATCAAGACTCTTCGATTGGAACAAGGTTTCTGAGCTTTTATAGCGAGTACGTTTTACGCTTCGCCACAAGGTTGAGAGTCATATTTTGGAGTGTATACATGCAGAGTTCATCCTTTTGTGGCTTGTGTCCATTGTCACTCTGGTTGTGTTTGAACTATACACGAAGTGGAATGTCTTCAAACAGTGGACAGATTGGTTAGCCCTTCACTGGGATGACACTGCAATATTGAAAAACAAATTTACCTGCCAGAGGTGTGGCTCTTGAAGATGCAACCGCTACACCGGGGATCATAGCATCTGGAGGAATATTGATGCCTAGAGTTTCCAAGTCCAACGTGCTTCCAAATGTATCACCCCTTTCCACTGCAGCCATCTCTTCAAGCACACCTGTACAATGAGATTTCCATCCACGTGGTAAGAAATTTAACCTCCAAAAAGCCAAGTCACCGACGATCGTTTTGTTTCCTGCCTTGTAGACGAAGGTGAGTAATATGTTCAAATTGGCGTCGCACCGTGAACTTCAGACAGACAGCACGAGAAAGCGTCAAACTCAGGTCCGTGTTCATGTTTTAAGATACCACAGTTTCGACTACATGTGATGGTCATCTAGGCACATTACCGCCTAGAGTACCAGGAAAGTCGTCAAGAATCATAGATTGTCAATCTTGACTGGCATTTCCAAATTCTCCAGAAACACCGAGATGCAAAGGCGTTAGCACTGACCTGAAAATGGAAGCTGGACAAAGGCCCATTGTTCACCCCGAAGAGTGTCGGGAACGTCTACCGGGAGAGGCTCTTCCAGGAGCAGAAGGGGCCCTGCACCCTCCTGAAAGCCTGGATGTTGCTGATATACAGTCTCATATCGCTCTTCCAGCCATCGTACCAATTGCAGACACTAAATCCAAACACATTAGTCATAATCGGAGTTCAGACATGGATCAGGTCACAGGCCATAATTCAGAAATGAAACCTAGGGTTTTAATGGTTTATCTTTGATAATCTGGACATAGCCCTGGAGGTCAGGAAAGTTCACAAAGCCACTTGAAGATATCACATACCCTTTGACTCGGAACTGGCTGTATGTCAAGCTCAGCACAAGCCTTGGATATAATGGTCTGCATTTGAGATCTGCCAGAAAATTTCATGAGAGCAGAATAAAACGAACGGACTAAGATCTCTCCGATCAGAAAGAAGACAATCATATATCTGAGACACCATTTGACAGGCGAAGACTAATAAATGAGGACTGCAGTGCACAATTTGGACGTTCCATTACGCGTGATGACCCCGAAAAGCGAAGAAATAATATATTCAAACTCTCGTGAAGCTACAGGACTAACTCATAAGAGAATACACACCTGAAAAAACGAATTTTCTGTGGCTTCGGCACGCCAAGGGTCTGAATAATATACACCAGTGCATCCCGAAGAGTTCCACTGTTGATTACATTGTTGGGGTAAAAACGAGAAAATCGCAACTGTCGCTGACTATCACAGACCACCAGCTCCCAAATTTTTTTCCCTCGAGTATCTAGAATAGGTCGAGAGCAGAAATCCAGCTCCCACTCCGTCAGAGACGACAAATCTGCATCCTCCGCCACGCTTTCCTCCTGACCCTCTCCAAGCTCCGAACTCCGCTCTGCGAGACTGCTATTCGGGAGAACACACTGCTGCGCGCTTCTCCTCGAGCTTTCCTGCTTCTTAGCGCCAGGAACCGCGGCGCCCTTCGTCCACCGAATCCTGGAGCTACAATCTAAACTTCCGTCGTTGAAGTTACGAGAACTAATCAAACTAGTCTGAGTTCGGAAACTAGAGTTCAGTCGGAAGGAAAGTCCAGGGGTTGATATGCATTGCAATCTGGGAGATGACAACGACGCCGACGACGACGGAGATGTAGAACAGCAGCAGGGGCAACAGGCCCGCACTTGCAAGCCTGCTCCCATTCCCACCACCATCCCTCCCTCCGTCCCTCACAATCAACAATCTCTCAATTCCCGCTCCACGACTACGCGCGTGCAAGCTGAATCCTTCCTGCGACGCCTCTCTCCTCTCTCCCTCCACAACACAACCAGAAGCACTCTCCTTGCTCTGCTCTCCTCTGCGGACTCAATCTTTTTCCTGTCACTCCATCGCTCAATCTCTCTGTCGCTCCTCTCTGCTCCCATTCCAGTCCTTCACTGGACATAGCACCACGAAGAAGATAGAAAAACAGGCCGGGTGGTTGGATTCCGGTCTCGGCTAATAAGGTCTCAGTTTCAGAACGGGCCGGTTGACGTAGCACCATTCTTTCTCCGCACTAAGAGATAGAAAACTATGGGCCCACAGAGCCCAGACAGCCAGACTAGCCTCGACTAACTTCAGCAGACCCTTCCAGGACCGTCTGTCTGAAGACCTCCGGAACCGTCGGGCCTTCAACTTTGACGGGGTCCCCATCGTTTCTCTCTCCAGACGGGAAATCTTTCGGGAAGCCACGAGAGACACGAACAGTTCGGTCAAAACCTCATGGTAAACCATGGTCAAAAGGCCTCTGGTTTGCTCGGAGAGTGACACGCGTGTGCTTGGAAGTCCTTCGCTTTTTACAAGAGTTCTCTCTCTCCCTCCCTCCCTCCCTCTGTGCGAGAATGGAGTCGCCGGATTCCACTGCTTCTCTCCGGTGCTCTAGCTCTGGGCTTGGCCGGACCAATGCGAAGATCAAACGCAGGCTTAGCCCGGCCTGCTCTTACCCCGTTCCTTTCGGCCAATCAGAACTCATATCTTCACCCCGATTTCGTTCAATAACCCTCATCCAATACATTTCGACCGGTCTAATTGGCGTTACAGGGAGACCGCTCACTGGTAGCTAGCCAATCCGCAGTTTCAAGCCCAAACATTGTTCTGCGTAGTGCTTTAATTTGGTGAGAATTCGACTCCATTCATTTCTTTTCTATTATTTTACATTTGAGTGCAGCTGGTGAGATTCAACGTCTATTAATGATATTGATAATATGTGTACCATGTTTAGATTATAGTCAGACATTATATAGTTGAGCTGCACCTGTGAGGTTGTTCCAGAGTAAAATAATTGTCAAACAACGATAAAACTACCCTTGTTTGAATATGATTGCCTAGAAACAGTCCAATATATTCATCTAAAAAGAACAGCAAAAATATTTCTGCCATCATTTTCTACAAAATTATCCTTTTTGTAAGAATAATAATTACAGTTGTATTATATTTTTTGAAGTGAAAGCACATAAGTACACTAAATATCACGTGTATATTTCATATGAAGTTGAATATTGCCATAATTCTACATTGTCAATTATGTTTTAATCTAGGACAAATCGTAGTATATACTTTATAATATATGAAGAAGAGCTATGTTGATACCGATGAATTATGCTCTTCAATCGTTTCACAATTAAGTGGTGAAATGTGGTTGGAATAGTAACAATTATATATTATTGCAAAAATATTTTTGGCGTAACATTTCATGAAATGATCAAATCTGTTTTTAGAATTATAAGAAAGAAAATTTCAAACAGAAATGCGAAAATAAATTTATGCAACTTGCTAGGATATCAATAAGTTTTGAGGTGTTAGATTTTGAAGAGTAAAATACATATATAGTGTGCATAAATAAAATCACAAAGAAACATGAATATTATTTAATTTGAACACTAAGGTGTGTACCATTCAACGAAACTATAATTGAGATGTATTGAAAAAAAAATCAACTAATTTACTGTAATAATATTTTCCAAAAATAAATTTAAATTTAAATTTAAGTTTTAAAGAGTTTCAAAAAGTAATTCTAAGTTTTACCTATAATAGTTGTACAATATCTTAATATTGTTAAATGCTCAAAAAATAATATCAGTGCTGTAAAAGATATTTATTGATGTCAAAAGTCTTCTTTTTTTATCTTTGCCACTCTTCGGTTAGAATTGCATATCATAGTGATATGTAATATATTTAATCATATCACTTCATTCATTTATATGTTAATATTGAAACAAATATATGATAAATAGTATTTTGAAATAAAATAAATCAATTCAAATCATCTCATAAAAACTTCAAAAAAGCTAACTATATCATAAATGACAAGTCAAATTCATGTAAATTTGTTTAGAACATGTTTTATAGTAAGTGAAATTTGATTAACAAATTTTAATCAAAAATTCATTATTTTCATGTCAACAATTTGTGTGGTTGATATGAAAATAATAATAATGTTTAATAATATTGACATGTTAGATAATGATTGAATGTATTAATAAATTTGTTTATTAAGATAACATGTATATGATCCATGTGCTTATTGAATATATCTGTCATCTTATCAATTCATTAAATATGAAATGAATGATGAAAATCAGATCATATCTATTTATTACAGTCAAGATGATATACTCAATATATCTTTAATCTTCTTAATATGTACTCTAGCTTGGAATAAATTCTTATCATAATCACTAGTATTACGATTATGTTTGAACTTCTTTATTACTTTCTTAAAAGTGAATTATCTTTCACAAAAAGATGATGATTAATCTTGTTTGTTAAGAGTATATAAAGATTAACAAAGTTCATTGATATATACACACATACAAAAAGAAAGTAAAGCACGTAATTTTGCAAATATGAAGATTTTTTTATGTGTATAACTCACTTGAGCAAACTCTTAGGATTCAATCAAGTTTTACCTATGATTACTTAGCCTAGTAAGAAGTTTTGTTGCTTCAAACATTATTAGTAAAACTCACTTCAACAAACTATAAAGATTTATTTAAGTTTTAGCTTTGACTACTTAAGCGAGCAAGAAGTATTGTTGCTTCAATCATTATTGGTAAACTTTAATGTTATCGTGGACATAGTTAAATGACAAACACACATAGATAAGTTATCTTTATTGTTATCACGTGTGAATATTCTCCTACATTTTCACAATTGATATCAAAGCTGAAGTACATGGTGATCGGACATGAAAAAAACTGATTCTAAACTAAGTTAATTAGGATATTATTTTGTTGTGAAGACAACCGGTGTATCACGAGAATTAATTTAGACATAAACGATTTTCAAATGTTGGTTCGTGTTAGCATATTTAAGATGTTTTTATTGGTATCACGTGTGAATTCTCTTGTATTTTTATACGATTGGTTTTAAAGTTAAATGATATCGTGATCAGACATGAATGAAACTAAAATTTTGAAATTAATTGAAGAACATTTATTTAGTCAAGTCAAACTAATGCACCACAAGAATTTTTGTCGAGATAAATAAATTTCAAAGATTGATTTGTGTTTGCAACTATGCAACATATTTGAACTGAATTGAACTTACGTGGCATCCTTGTTATGATTGTGATTCACAGTCACAAGACATGTTTTCACATTAATAGTAATACTTTTTGACACGCAAAATCAAAATCACACTAAAATTGTTATATATTTTGCACATCATTTTCTATCAATGTGTGAGCAAATCACTAATTGATTGGAAATTTTATATGCAACTCATTGCAATTGAATTGCAATCGCTCATACACATGTTTATTTAGATTGGAGTAAAATTTTGTATTGATCCAGATGAAGAAGAAAGCGCAGCGAGGCTCGGAGGGCCGAAGGCCGGAAATTTCTAGCCTCGGGCCTTGAGGTGTATAGTCTGCAATTTTGTCATTGTGATTTTAATAAAAAACATTGAACAGTAGATCAATCTGACACAACTTACAAATCGTACGATTGTTTTTCTTTTTTCTTTCTCTAATCAAACAGACATACATTGTCAATAAAAAGCCAATTGTGAAGCAAGTGGAGTGAAGTAGACAAGTGAAGAGTTGCATCACGCAAAGGTCGGATGATTTAGAGCTAACTAGAAGCTTGTGAACTTAGACTGGAGTTCCTAACAACAATCATGATATTCTAAATTTAGATTTCTCTTCTCAAATAGCAAAATATCTCCATGTCTCGTCATCAAACCACTACAACACCCATCGATTATCAAACATCATTGCACAATATACAAAATCATAGTTTACAATTTCAGACCAAACAAAATAATGAAATCAAAAAATTCAAGTTTGACAAGTTCTTGGCCACTGTCCGGTTCAAATCATTGGTTAACTGGTCTGAAAGAAAGGTTTTCGTTTGAGTCTTGAATCTTAAATTTCTCCACATCCGTTTGATACAAACCATTTAGTTTCAGTAAGCTATATAACGGATTGACACCGATGTGTTTTCAAGTCTTCAATAAAGAATGAGATATTGCCAATACCCTAGGAGTGGTTGGAATTTATATCAATTGAGTCTCGTTCCCTCTAATATTCTAAACATCAGTTTGAACTTAGTGAATATAATTCGTTAAGAAACTCAAATTTGTTCATCGTTCAGATGCAAAAAATTGGCTGATCTAGGATGCTGGTGTGCGTTCATCACTCTATGTCTCGTCTGTGGTTGTGCGATGCGATGTTCTATATACTTTCAATAATCGTACCGAAGGAATCCACATTGTAATTGGCATTTTTGGATCATTTGCATGTCCATATTGTAACATTTCATGAATTGTTTTGTACTCTGAACATGTCTGGCGGATCCTAATTGAAGGAATTTTTCTTTGCTGGTCTTTGTCTTTGCACTTTGAACCAAAGTATGTGTTTGATTATGGTGTATTGCACTTCAAATTTAGCTCATAATTTCACAAAAATTTTGATTCTAGATGAATTATTACAACTCAGATGAGAAATCATCGACAAAGGAAGTCAAAAGTAAAGTCAAAAACTTTTAAAATCAATTAATTTGTTGATCTCAAAGTGAAATCTCCATCAAATCTAAATTTGATAATGGAAAGCATTTTCATGCATTACACTACCATGTAGTTGTGAATTTTTTTCTTTGACTGTGACAACTGGAAAAAAAATCTCTCCATTGTGTCATTATAAGTAATGATAGAAAAAAATTTCATTGCAAACACGCAACATCTTTTCATTCACAACATAGTGCCAAAAATTCATCACAGATTTTTTGTTTGATTTGTTGACGAAGGCTTCACACCAGCTGATGTAGTTGTTTAATTTTGCTAGTAGTGAGATTGTATTCATCTTCATGAACTTGTATATTTTAGCAAGATTTGTAATATTTTTTTGAATGTCATTGTAAGTATTCTTTCTAAAGATGACAACAGATTGCTACTCA